TGGGCCACTTGAACAGCACCCTCCACAAATGCAACGCACACCAATTGGAAAACACCTGAACTTGACCCGCAAACCTACAAAAGCAACTGCCACCACGGTCTCACAACCTTCCTGGCACGACTGGACGCAGTCAACACCAGCCCTCTCCAGAGTCAGCTGCCGCCCGAGAGGAAAACTCAGGGTTCTGTATACACTAGACCTCTCCTTCCAATGTCTTCTGTCTTTTCCTACAACTCGCCCGATGATTGTGGCGCTCTGAGTACACTCGCCGCTTAGAAGCTATATTAGCATGGGGATATTTAGACTCAGCGATATCAGACCCTGGAAGTCTCTCTATCAAAGACTGCTGAACTTTATGCGTATAAAACGAGTGAACTCGGAAATTTCAATCCCAATCATATCCGAGCCACCAGTTTTTTGACACATATGCTGTTCTCGATTTTGTGCGTCCTTTTCTCTGTGCCTGTTATTTGCACTGAACCCTTTTCAGTGATTAGTCGTTGGATTGGGTCTGAGACAGCTGCGGCTATCAACATTTGCAGTCTCGAATTGATTTTTTTCTTTTCAATGCACTCTTGTGCACCATTTGCTAATAGTCCGGACTCCGTACACTCAATGTTCCCTGACATATTGACCGGTTTGAAGTTCCAGTTTTACCATGTATCGACCGATTCAGTATCACGAAGTGTTGCGGTGCGGTACATTTTGCGCTTAGCACTCTCAAATCGTCCAGTGTCGTCGACGCCTTCTACGGTTTCGGTTGCTCTCCCGTTATTCCTTCACTCCCTGTTTATGCTGCTCATAGATACGATTTCTTTGAGTAGCAGTCTGAAACAACTACCTGGACCTGTCGCAGCGCGTCTAGCTATTTCCGTCGTAGGTAGAAGCAGTTACCATTAAATTGCAGTGAAGATGGCAGCCGCCTATTTGGTCCTGCGTACGCTTTGCAAAACCGAGAAAAACATTGGTTTGAAATGTCATCCACCGTGTTACAGTTGACCACCGAGTGTTAGAGCCACTGACCTTTCAGTTCATGCTCTCTGCTTTTCTGGATATGCTGTCATTTCGCTGCTTTTTCCCGTACTGTGTGCATAGGAATATGATTTTTGCAGCCGATATGTGAGGAGTGTTGTCCAGTGCGCGACTCGACTACGTACGCCTAGTGTGCATCCAAAGCATCTCTCGCGAAGGTACTAGAGCGATATTTCTCTTTTTTAGCAAGTTAACCTTATGATGGCAGGGATTTTAGCTCCTTGTAACCACGACTTGCATCTGTCCTCCTGAAGAGCTATTACTGGGCACTTTTGCTTATATCAGATTCTACGCCATCAGACTTTCATGTATAGACTTCGCTGTTGACTCCAAAACGTTGTAAGCTTAGTGTTTTCGGAGAAAGTTGGATTTGAAGCTAAGGAATGCAACAACGACCGTAGTGAACTGGTTTATCTTTAAGTCGTGTCGGATGTATCATCCAACTATCAGCGCGTGGCATAAACAGTCATCCCCAAAGACCCTGCGCACTTGCGTACGTGCGTGTATACCAGTATTAACAGACAGCTCTGTTTACGTTCCAATCAGTGCATCATTCACAGAAAAGCAGTTTATGCGTCCGTTGTAAAATCAACACAACTGCATTTCGGCAGCCCTGCACCGAACCCGGAATTTTGCTCAATTTGTCACACTTATTAATTGTGCACATGCTTGTGAATTGTGGTATCACATCCTTCTCTCTGTTGTGTCTACGTGGCTGCCCAGTGGCCTTGTTTTGCCCGACCGTCTGGCTGGACGAAGGAATAACTGCACGGACATCGAGAGCCGCCGGATAGTAATCCAATAGCTAGTTCGTTTGCGGGGTTTGCCAAGTCTTACCTACCTCGGCGATCGATCTCTGTTTTTATTAGTTTGGGTTTGTCGCTTTGGGACTGCCGAATGCTTAGTCATTTTGTTTTTTGTGGCTATATGAAAGGTGTTCTTGTTCATCAACGACTTTACTTTGAGGCACAATGAAGACTTAAAGTTGTTGAGCTTTCACGTTGTGTAGCACATATTTGCCTGAATTTTTGAAATTCCCACCAAATTGTGCAACAGACGTTTATTCTGTGCTCTGGAATTTTTTTCTTACGACAAGTCCGGCAGATGTTCAGATTACTTGCAACATCAATACTTTGGCCGGGCATATGTACAAGGCCATCCTATTTTCTGAAGACGTAAGAGTATATATGTTTTCCGAAGAAATTCGTTTTTGTTCGATTAAATCAGTTATTTCTGCCAAGACCTCCGCCGTTTTTTCGTGGCCATTTGAATTTATTCAATAAATGGAAACGAAAATTAAGAAAAAATTCCAAGACTCAGAGTTACCTCGCACTTTTATCGTCTGTGTATCCTATCGTTTTAAACACTTACGATATAAAATGTGGCATGCTTAATGATTCACCATACTGACAGTACAGATACTGGCTAGAAGCCCAAACATGTGTTTCGCCGATTTTGCGAAGCCGCATGTCGCAGTTGCGAGGTGCTCGGCTTATCCGTTTGGTCAAAATGTGTCCCCATCCTCTGCGCCAGGCAAGCAGGAGTAGTCATCACCCACTACTCATTGATTCTATTATGTTTACACCTGAGCTTATGGGAACTTAGTTCATTTTGTTTTTTTTTTTCTTGAGAAAGATAATTAGCTTTCACCTGAAGAAGCATTACTTCCTAAACTCGAAATTAAAATGTTGAAAAATCCCGCAGAGAAATTGAGCATCTTGCTGGTCATCCAGGTATTAGAGACGCCGCATCTATCCCTTCATGCTTTTTTTCAATATTCTCGTCAAAGTTATCCAGAAGAGACTTTCGCAGAGTATCCACGACGGAGTACATGCGTTTCGATTTGCCCTCGGGCCTTCATCCTAGAACCAACGCAAGCAATCACATCGTATTATCGGTAAAGTCTGGGGAAATTGAAATGTCCATTGTTGAGCTATCTTGTGTTGTCAGTCGGCCATACTCCAGGGCGGGGAGACCCTAGGTTTGAACATATGGTCAGTTAGTCACTGAGTGCTTCCAATCTATCCTACAGTCGGACTAAATCGCTGAACGTCACTCCTATACGGATCTGAATACTCCCACTCACACCCCTTGAAACGGGAACATCAAGCTCAGATTGTTTGACAAAACGACTTCATAATCTTTCTTGGCAACTTGGGTCCTCATGAGGTGCCTTGGGAGCAGAAATAGTTTAAAATGGTAACTAGGACATAAAATACCGCCTTATACAGTGGTAGACAGGCAGCCGTTTTCAGCTTACTCACAGTTTATCTTCATCCAAGAACAAAACAGGAATCTGACCATGTAAAAAATTTGCGACTCAACAAGTTGAGAAATAAGTACGCAGGACAGACAGAACGCGACGTGAGCAGATCATGTTAGAGATAGTTAGAGGTCGTTCGAAGAGAAAATTGACAAGAAATCGGGATGAGCAAAAAAATAAACGAGACGTGTGCTTGGAGAATGAGATAAAACTACCGAGGACGAAATGTAAAAATTATGGAGTGGGTAGGAACAATGAATCCAGAATTGCTGCAGAATATAACGAAAGGCAAAAGAAGAAAGTCAATCAGTGTGTCGCCGTCTGGCATTCTTTTCTGTTGTAGATCGGGCCTTTATTCATGCAGGAGTGGACGCACACCGATAATTTGGCTTCTTGAAAGCAAAAAACTCCGACTGGATGGCTGAAGTCACGAACAATTTCAAAACTGATGCATCTAGCAGTGATCACACAAGGAACGCTGGGGGACCCACTGATGAGCCGAACCCCTCATAGCTGTCTCATACTTCGGCAGAATATCGGTAAAACACGTGCCTGGGCTTTTAGATGGTACTTGTTCTGCCAAATACGGCATATTGTGCAACCTAGGTGGTCGCCTGTCAGACCGAAATCGTCCAAGCTAGTGACAGCAGAGGGTTTGCAGGCAGAGATGTTGGCGGACTGATCGAACGGAATTATATTGAGCCCGAAGACGTAGACGGACGAGCATTTCCTGTAACCCGATCGGTGAACATCCATCCCCCATCCATCCCCGATAGCAACTGACAGGACAACGGACATGTGGCTCAATGCGTAGAGCTGTTGGTGGCCAAAGTGTCCGGATTTGAATCACAGATTCTGCAGACCTGATCTGGCTAAGACTGGCCGACGACTGTTAATAAGCCAGAAATGACTATCCCAGTCTCCTTTGTCTTTGTCGGCACTCCTCACAATTACCGTTATGCTTACTGTCTGCGAGAGCTCTATGCCGAAGGCCAAGGCGCAACGGGACGAGCATGTTCCGCAACCCGATCAGTGAACGCATTTCCATCTTAATTGGTGCAGAACTGTTTGGGGCTTATTTTGCCTACACTCAGCCAATCATAACTCTGACCGCCGTGTGGGATTAGGACCCCAAACCCGCGCACGTATACAGCGCGCATTGTCCACAGACAGGCTCTATCAGATGAGTCATACACACATCATCGAAAGTCGGTAATAACATTCTGTTTTAAATGTATGAAAATCCCCATCACTATATTCAGAAGAGAGAGTGGCGAGTGAACGTTCCTTTCGGTAAATTCTCATCAGGCCAATACCGAAAGGAACGTTCACTCGCCACTCTCTCTTCTGAATAACATTCTGCCTATATCATGCGCCGCTGTGTGGCTGCTGGCTGGGCCATAGAGAGAGAGCCTGTAAGGCACAACGGGACGAGTGAGTTCCGTAAGAACGATCGGTGAGCGCCCCTCAACCATTGTATATCCCCGATCGAAACCGACAGGACAACGGGTCCGTGGCCCAGTGGTTAAAGACGCTGGACTTCTAACTAACAGGTCGCGAGTTCGAGCCCCAAGCGTTCCACACTTCGGGGTTGGGTATGACTGACTGACGACAGCTAATAAGCCATTTCAGTCCCCTTGTCCTTGTCGGTAATAACACTCTACCTTTATCATGCGCCGCTGGGCGTCAAGCAAGCTCACGCACTTCAATAGCTTGATGGCGATGATGAAGCAGCTGATGATGGTAATGATAATGATCGTGCAAGTGATGATTGATGATGACGACGACGACGACGACGACGACGACGACGGTGGTGGTGGTGGTGGTGGTGGTGGTGGTAGTAGTAGTAGTAGTAGTAGTAGTAGTAGTAGTAGTAGTAGTAGTAGTAGTAGTAGTAGTAGTAGTAGTAGTAGTAGTAGTAGTAGTAGTGATGATGATGATGAGGAGGAGGAGGAGGAGGAGGAGGAGGAGGATGAGGATGAGGATGATGAAGAAGAAGAAGAAGAAGAAGAAAATTGCACATATCCCTTACGTTATAGCGATAGCCCCCGCTTGATGGTTTGACATATTTCCCAACACTTCAGGTAAGCAGCGACGATCAATAGGTTGATTACACTCAAGCTAACAAGTCGTATTATGCCATGCTTAACTGTCGCGCCAGTGGATTCTTCGATCTCACCGAAGTTGGTTGATAGAATATGCCAAGGGCGAGGATGCTTATGATATTTGCGTGTCGCAGAGGTTTCTTCAGCACAACTGAAAGGGAACAGTCGTTTAGGTTTATAAACCTTGACTGAAGCCAATTGTAATGAGTCCAAATTTGTAGAATGCGTATCAAAGGGAATAAGTGTTAAAATCTGCTTACAAATAAAAGATAAAGTAAGGTGTTTGAGAAAATACCCAGACCCCCTCCCAATATAGGCCAAACATCGGCGGAAATACGACGCCCAAAGAAAAAGGCAATGTTAGAGGACGTGGATGATAAGACGATAGGGAAGATGCGCTGGGCGGCTTTTAGTGATTGCGCAAATATCGGTGGCACTGGAAGAATTACCTCAGTGGCGATGAAGGGAGAAGCAAGTGTATGGGGATGAAGGGGGTGGGGATCTGCACATGTGTCCACGGGACTCTCCACCGGTTCATTTGCAACAGCGCTAACGTTAACGATCTCCTTCCTGTTACTGCGAAGTATCTTTCAGGTCTTGCAATTGCTGGAGAAAACCCATAGCGATTTTTCACGGGACGATCCCAGTGGCTTGCGACCACGATCATATCCAATGAAAATGAGAATGCAGTCAGCCAAACCTTTTCCCAAATATGACTCGGTCGAAGGAGTTTGCGGTACGGACAATGGCAGCGAACACGCGAATTATAATATTTCCGACAAGGATAGGGGAGTCTGGAACGGCCATTTTTGGCTTATTAGCCGTCCTCAACCAGTCATGTCCAATCCCGAAGCGTGGAACACCTGGAGCTCGATCCCGCGACCTATTGGTTAGAAGTCTGACGCCTCTAACCACTGACCCACGTGCTCGTTGTTCTGTCGGTTGCGATCAGGAATATATAATGGTAGAGAGGGCGCTCACCGATCGTGCTATGGAACTCACTCGTCCCATTGGACTTATAACACGCGCTGCTGTGCGGCTGCTGGTTGGGCTTGAGAGAAAGCTCTAAGGCATAAAGGGACGAGTGAGTTCCGTAACACGATCAGTGAGCTCCCCTCTACCAACACGTTAATTGTCGACAACGGTGTAGCTGGTGGAAAGGATCCTCGTCGTCATCACCCTAGGTTGGGACGCCTATCTTGGTAGTTGAAGGACAACGCCGGACATCAGTTTGGCATGATGAGGTATGACGTTAAAATTGCAGCCTTGGCGGCCCTACACTCCTGTATAGAAGGCTCTAGGCTTGTTTCAACACTGTAAATGCCGATCCTGTTGACTTCATTGCAGCACTGGAAGCTATGGTTTTGAGAAGTGAAACATCCGACGACATGAAACACTCCGTCCGACAGCGTGTTACCTCCTTGCTGATGACACACAGACCAACCAAAAGTTTTTCGCAGAGTAAGTCAAAGGCTATGAGGGAACTGAGGAGGGACGACAGCATTATCATTCTACCTGCTGACAAGGGACGATCAACCGTCGTGATGAATAGAGAAGACTATAATGAAAAGGCCAAAGTCCTTCTTGATGACAGAGAATTTTACAGACCAGCACAGAAGTCACAGGCCAAAGCAGTGGCAGATCGGCTGAGTAAACTATTTAGAGAATACCGACATAAAAATGTGATCACGGAGAATGAATGGCATCGACTGAGGGCAACTGACACCGCTTTAGCTCGATTCCATGGTCTGCCAAAAATCCATTAATTAAATGTCCCACTTCGGCCAATCGCTGCCCTAAAAGGCAGCCCCACCTACGATTAGGCAAAGTGGATGTGCTCAAAACTGAAGTTCCTTCAAGGCAATTCGACTACCTCAGTTCGATCAGCCTCCCAATTCCTCATAGACCTCCGAGGTCGGAGGATTCAATCGGACAAAATCATGGTCTCCTTCGATGTGACGTCGTTATTCACATCATTCCCACCAAACGTGGCCCGCGAAGTCTTGCGCAAGAGACTTGAAGAGGCAGACGATGAGACTCAGAATGCTCTCAAAATTGAAAACCTCATGAGGCTGTTTGAATTCTGCCAACAAACTTTCTTCAATTTTGCGGTAGACACCTATGAACACCTATGGGCTTACCGGTCTCCGGTTTAGTGGCAGAACTGGTCCTCCAGGAGTTAGAAAAGATTGCCTTCCTCCAACATGAACTGGTGTTTTTGGCGCCGCTACGTTGATGACACGTTCGTCATCGTAAGGAAGGACATGCTGCAACATTTCCACAGCCTGTTCAACGCAGTTTTCCCTGATATAAAATTCACAAGGGAAGAAGAACAGGAACAGCAGTTGCCCTTCCTGAATGTGCTTGTCAAACGAAACCTTAACGGTGAGCTTGAAACGACGGTTTATAGGAAAGCAACGAACACCACACAGCTTCTCAGTTGTCACAGCAACCATGCGGTGGCTCACAAACGAAGCTGTGTGAAGACGCTCTTCATACTGATCCAAACTCATTGCAGCAAACCGGAGGACAGAGCACGTGAGGCCCGTTATCTCCGCAATCAGTTTGTGCAAAATAGCTATCCGAGGGCATTCATAAGTCGCTGCCTACGCGGTCGCCATCAGAGAACTCGAACATCAACGCCACCGACGATATGGCATTCTCTGCCATACATCAAGGGAATTACAGAAGCAACCGAGCGCATTGCTGCGGAGCTGGGTGTTGGAATTGCACACCGCCCCAAAGTCACCATGCGCAAGAAGGTAATGAAAATCAAAGACCAATTAAAGCCTGATGAGCAATCTGGAGTAGTGTATCGCATTCCGTGTCAAAATTGTCCTTGTAACTACACAGTACAGTCTGGACGCATGCTCGGATCGCGCATACACGAACATAAGCTGGCTGTGCGGCGAGGCGAGGGGACGCATTATCACAAGTGGCCGACCACACCTACGAAATTGGTTATGAATTTAACTTCGCAGCCACCAAAATAGTCGCCCACGCCGGACACAAAAAGGCCGCGAATTGATTGAAGCCCGGGCCTCGGATGAGAACTCGGTCAATCGATTTATCCATCTGGCGCCGGCGTACAGAGCCCTGCGTAGTCACCTCCAGTCGTGCGCCTTCGGTCGATGATTAGACCTACATGTCTTATAACTGCCGCTTGTTCTGTTTCTGCCACTACCTCTGACGATGGACTCCTGCACGAGTCTGAAAGCTCAGGACAATGAACGAAGTGTTCCGGTGCTCGACTCTTTTTCTTCACTTAGGCTTTAGGATGTCTAAAATCCAAATCCGGAGTGGCATTCCATTTAGATAGTTTTGCGGCGTGTTAGGAACCTGGTTTCAGTTTCCGAGACGCAGTATGGTTCATTTGTTTAAACTGAAGAACGGGAACCATCGGCGAAAACACCCATTCAATCGATGAAGATTTCCTTGGAAGTTGGTCTTGTCGACAGCATCCTGGGTGACCTTCCAGATTTTTATACCATCCCCAAACATGACACAATAACAGTCCAACCCTCTGTATAATCATTGATGAACAAGAAAAAGAGGACCGGCTCGGGCATTAAGCCTTGTGAGACACCACTCCCGATGACTGTACGCCTTGACTGCTGTTGCTCCACATAGACAATTTGGGAACGACCGACGACCTATTTCCCCATCCATTTAGGAAGTTTGCCTTTCGATTCCCATGACTCTCAACTTGTAAAAAAGGCGTTGGTGCGGAGCACAGTCGAACGCCCTCCATAAATTAATGTAGGCCACATGCACTGTGTATTTTTTATCGAGTGCTCTTATCCAGCTTTACATTGTGTATGTTAAGTTCGTTACACACGATCTTCCCCTGCTGAAGCTGTATTGTGAATTGGACAAGAGGTTGGGGGTTTTTAAACAAGCCATCAACTAATTTTCGATGGTCTTCTCCAGGACTGTGCATCAAATATATGTTACATTGACGGGTCTGTAGTTCGTCGGAAGTGCACGACTACCGTTTTTGTAAAGCGGTGTATGCGGGCTGTTTTCCAGTCTGTGGGAAGAATCACAGCATCAAACGATTTCTGGCAGGGAAAGGATAGTGGTCTGGCCAACTCTCGGGCAATTTCAGAGAGCAGCTTTGCTGGAATCTCGTCCGGACCGGCTGATTTATATTCCTCCACATTTTTTAGTTCTTCAAAAATCGCTTCTTCTCGTGACACGATATTTTCAATAATCAGATCTCCCAAGCTCCAAAAAAGACTCCTTCTCGAGTGGAAACAGATTTGAAGGATTGAGAAAAGTGTTCAGCTTTGATTGTGTTGTCTGCTATCTCCAAACCGTCATCATTCCTCACGATAGGCATCGGAATTTTGTTACGGGTGCTCTTTCGGAAGTAGCTCTGCAGAAACTTTGCATTTTAATGGTTTGGTGAAGTAAATTACTTTTGAAATCTCGTTGCCTTTTTAGAATCAAGCCCTTCACCTTGTTCCTTCGAATTTTATATTCTGCGAAGACTGCATTTTCGTTGTTTCAGAATTGGTCCTACAAGAGCCGAAGGAGGCCACTTTTAAGCACTAAAAACTGCGTTTTGGTGCTGCACCTAGGCGACACATTCGTTATTATTTAAAAGGGTAGACTACTAAACTTTCAGGACCCGCTTAGCTGTTTGTTCTTCCCCTGCCAGCACTTGGCCCCATCTTGAAAGAGGGTCAAGAAGGGGCTATGAGGGGGCCAGCCCCCCTCGAAGTTTTCTCGTCGTTAATGCATAATGAACAGGCATTACTCCGTGAATAAACGTCTATTTTTCGGTTAAAATATGCTTTGTTAATGGCAAAAAGTACTTTTGGACTTCGGTAGTTGTGCTTTTGACATGTCTGGGCAATCTTGATATAATGCGCATAATTGTTTAAGTTGAAAAGTCAAGTTGGCGAACGCACGT